AGGATGTATGCTTGCCCCTGATTGGACCTGATGGGAAATGTGAATTGTGAGTTTGGCCTTCTTAAGTCCCTTCAAAACATGACTAGGGACCATTTCCTGGAAAACAGGGTATGGACCTGGCCAGAGCCCATCCCCCCTGGCCAGGATTTAATTAAAGCTTGCTTCAAATTTGGTTTAAACTGTAGTAGTGGTCTTGTTCTCCACCAGTGGGATTAATATAACAACCATTTCAGCATCTCAAAAAGGGAGGCAGGAAGAAGCAATGTACATCCTCTCCTTTTGAATTACTTTCCAAAGTTTACAAGTGACCTCTGCCCGCATCCTGCCGGCCACCATTTAGTAACATGGGTATCCCTCACTGCTTGTATTCCAGCTGCTCTGTCTGTACCAGATAACAGTCTGCTATTGTGGAAGAAGGCGTGGGCTAATATTAGCACAACACAATTTTCTCGTAGTTGATTAAAATCAGCTTCCTATGGAAGTTTCTATGGTGTCCTATTTCATTAGCTTTTCTCACAGTCTACTTTCAACACAGACATCTAAAGCCCCAAGATCATTTCAACCTCTCTCTCTCTCTCTCTCTCTCTCTCTCTCTCTCTCTCTCTCTCTCTGTGCATAAACACCTGTGACACACCATACTTACAGAAGTCAGAGGACAACATTCAGCCACGGATTCTCTCCATCTACCTGGTTGAGGTCTCTCTTCCTGCTCCCGCCTGCTGCATGCTCCAATCTTGCTGGCCCTTGAGGTTACAGGTGATTCTCCTCTCTCTTCCTCCCATCTCACTATAGGAGAGCTGGGGTCACACCACCTCGTGTGGCTTTGTGTGTGTGTTGGGGGGGGGGTGTCAGGGATTGAACTCAGGTCTTCAAGCTCGTACAACAAGCATGTTGCCCTGCTGAACCAACTCACCAGCCCCTCAATGGTTTCTTATTATTTCAGGGTTGTGGTCAGTAAGTATTTTCAATTTCTGACCTCACATTCTTTTTAATGGAGACTGCATCAATGAACTTGAGGTGTGGTTTTCTTTCCTTTCTGTAGAAATCTGGTTCTATAGATTCTGGTTCTCTTGGCTAAGAGTCCACTCCATATTGTTTTATTAGGACATCTAGAAGCTTCCTCTCTCCACTGACTGGAATTTTCTTATAGCACATGAGTGGAGAAGAGGAGTGTCTGTGTATTTAGACACGGGTCTTCCATGTGCTTCTCAGGCTCCTCATAGTATGAAAGGCAATGATCAGCATAAAGTATCTTCATTATCCAAGGGTAGACATAGCCTAGACATCTCTAATGTCAGGATGCAGTGTTTGCACAATATTTTTTTGTTGCGCTGGAAATGCTAAAAGCTTTCTCTCAGCTTAAATGAAGCCACCAGAAACACACCCACTGCTTTCTCTTTAATTACAGGATTAATTTTGCCTTTGTAAACTTTAGCATTGGGACTTACTCAGATATTAAAACGTTGTATAAGAAGTGGCCTTATGGCCAGGTGGTGGTGGCACACCCATTTAGTCCCAGCACTTGGGAGGCAGAGGCAGGCCAATCTTTGTGAGTTCGAGGCCAGCTTGGTCTACAGAGTGAGATCCAGGAAAGGCTCAAAGCTACACAGAGAAACCCTGTCTGGGGGGGGGGGAGGGGGAGTGGCCTTATAAAGCACACTGTACTTACATAACACAGTCAAGATATCATTCACTTTCCTGCCCTGTGATTCATAAAACTTATTATTGGCCCCTCATAAAGAGTACCAGGTAGAATCCAGAGTGATTGGCCTCTGACATTCTCATACTTAGGCCTAAAGTCAATTGTTAGCAGGACATGACCAAAAGCAACTTGGGAAAGAAAAAGGTTATTTCACTTTACAGTCATAATCCACCTTCCAGGGAAGTCAGGGCAGGAACTCAAGGCAGGAACCTGGAGGTAGGAATTGAATGCAAAGCCTGTGGAAACGTGCTGCTTACTGGCTTGCTTTTCACGGCTTGCTCAGCCAGCTTTCACATAGCACCCAGGACCGCCAGCCCAGGATGGCACTGCCCACGGTGAGCTGGGCCCTTTCACATCAATCATTAATCAAGAAAACGCACCACAGGCTTGACCATGGGCTAACCTAGTAGAGGCATTGGCTCAACTGAGGTCCCTTTCCCTAATGATTCTAGCCTGTGTCAAACTGATATAAAACTAGCCAGCACATCGTAGTATTTGTACAGATATGTGTCATTACATTTGTTCTCATTTGTCCCTACTCCATTGCTCTCCCCCATGCCACCTGATATTTTGTGAGTCAGGTTGGCTTCAAACTCTCAACCTCCTGCCTTTGAGAACAGCAACTTTGGTGTAGAGCCAGCCGGAGCCAGCCAAACACATTGCAAGTGCTTGTGGCAAACCCTTGGAAGCCTGGAAGATTGTGAGTCCCAGAAGTCTGACCTTGTTAGATGTTGGTTTTGCTTTGATTTGAATGTACCTGTCTCTGAGTTCTTCCTTCCTGGAGTAAGAAAGTATTTAGCTCTTTTTTTATTTTACAGAAAACCCACAGTTAAGAGATTTTGAGCTTTTAAAGAGACTTTGGGATTTTAGAGAAACTTTGGGACTTTACAAAGATTTGGGGATTTTAGAGAGACTTTGTATATGTATTTTAAAGAGACTGAACTTTTAAAGTGTCTGCCTTTTTAAAGATTGTGGGTCTTTTAAAGGTTATAATTTTTTTATTGTCCATGTTAGTATAACACCTTGGGGACAACAAGAAAGATTATAGTTTAATAGTAATGTGCTTATGTGTAAAGTTGGCAGAGGGCCCTTGTGTTGGCTAGCTTTATGTCAACTTGACACATGCTAGAGTTATTTGGGAAGAGGGACCCTCAATTGAGAAAGCACCCCAACCAAACTGGCCCACAGATAAGCCTGTGTTCCATTTCTTGGTTGATGATTGAGGTGGGAGGTCAAGCTCACTGCGGGCAGTACCATCCCTGGGCTGGTGGTCCTGGGTGCTATAAGAAGGCAGGCTGAGCAAGCCATGAAAAGTAAGCCAGTAAGCAGCACCCCTCCATGTCCTCTGCATCAGTTCTTACCTCCAGGTTCCTGCCCTCAGTTCCTGCCCTGACTTTCCATGCTGTAAGACGAAATAAACCTTTTCCTCTTCAAGTTGCTTTTGGTCATAGTGTTTTATCACAGCAGCAGAAACCCTAAGACACCTATCAGGGTGTTTTGTTTTGTTTTGTTTATGAACTGAATTTTGAGCTGTGCTTGAGGCATGGGGACTGCCGGAGAAGTATGGAGAAGATACTCCAGGTAGGAATTCCCATTCCCCACATGTACAGCAAGGAAACAGGCTTGGCTAGAGCAGAAGTGTGTTGAGGAGTACAAAGTCCAGGTTCTGTACTGGAAAGGATCGTGGGTGATCCTCGTACCGTCTAACACAGGACGTTTTATGAGCAGTTAATAAAGGAATCCTGACTGATTCATTGAGCCCCTGACTCCAATGCAATGTGTGGGTTTTCAAGGAATTTGTTCTAGGAGGAAGCAAAGTTAAAGAGACGTGGGAACGGGAGGGGTGATAGGTCATTCACATATGGGAGGAATAATGTTGGCCTTGATTCTGAGAATCTGTAAGTAAAAGTAAACATTTGACCAGCTCTTCCTGGCATCCGTGTTTATCTTGGTCTGTTAAGCGAAAGATAAGAGCCACACAAAGAAATTCCCCCAAGATCTGATCAAAATAAGATTTCCATCTAGATAGCCTTCTCCTCTTCAATCACTTTGCATGTTTCTCCATCCCTTAAGGTACTTTCCTACTGGGCGGAAGAGAAGGCTGGGATAGATGCATGATATAGCAAGCTCATGGAGCACCTCGGCTTTCCTACTATTAAATCAGGGGTTATGTCTTGAGCAACTCATCCACGGTCATAAAATACTCAGCAATGTATATTTGCCACTATTTTTAGATTAAACATGACAATATCCATGTGTTTGTCATCTGTACTAGTTGCCCTGCATGAAACCATATTTTTGAAGGAAGTTTTAACCTGTTAGTCATAAACAAAAAATGACAATAATTGCTTCTATTTTGTAAATCCATATTGATTCATAACTCCTAAGAATATCAGTTTCAACATTCACATCATAGTGTTCAACGCCAATTTAAAATCCCACAACATAGTTTTGTGGCCCTAGATCTTTTCTTTGGCATAAATAAAGGCTGAACCTGTGTTGTAATATACAGTGGAAATGTCCCAGAATAAAGAGTCCTCTGAGTGGATCCAAATTGCTAATTTATCTTTAAGATTCATCTATTTTCTCTCCACTGAATCCCAAGACAGATTGGAACCCTCCATTGCAACACATGCATTAAGTCACTTGGAATCAGAGGGTCTGCAGATACTTTGCAAAAAACGATTCTCTTTGTTCGGTGGAGGAAGGCCAGATGATGCAATAACCAGCTCCCAGCTGCGCTTTCCTCACTGGCGACCCAGCCCCTCTTGATGCCATTTTAAGAATCCTGGCCACTCACCAGTGGTTCTAAAGATGCTGAATGAAACCAAGCCATCTCATCACCGGAGTCACCAGAGAATGCATGTGGCCACAAAGCAGCGGAAAGATGGTTATCTTTCTCTCCAGCATCATTTCTTAAACACAAACAGTCCTAAAGGAAGAAGGAAATCGGCCAGAGGCCTTGGGGGATTCCGGATGAAGGAAATCCTCCCACAGGATGAAGCTACACATCCTATAGAAAGTACATAAACAATGCCCTGAGCTGACGTTGTAGTGAGGTCTCTGAGGTGTTCTGTGTGCCAAGTGTTTTAAACCCATTAATCGTTTTTCTCTGCCAAAACGGATGAGCTAATAATTTGGCTGCTGGCTTTTAGGAGATTAGAGGACAAGCAGAGGAAAAGCTCCTGAGTAAAATATAACCAAAATATTTTAGTTGATTCAAACTTCTTCTTAGCACTTAGAACTGATAGTGTTATCCTGGCCAAATGTTAACCAACAAATAATCAAAATGAGAGTGTTGACTTAAAACAGCTGTTTAATCAACCACACACACAAACACAAAAAGTTCCAATTGTTTCTTGTTGTGAAGGCAAAACAAATGTCTGATAAGATTTTTAACTTTCGAATTTGGTGGGAAGGAAGTCTTGTGTATTGTTTGCCATTTTCCAGTCTTTTGTTGGTCTGAATCCAGAAGAATAGATTTTTTTCTTACTTTCTATAAAATTGCCCCAAAATAGATATCCTGTACCATGGAGGGTAGGGAAAGTACATATAAAGACAAATAAAGAAGATCCACGACTCGGCAATCTCGTCCACAGACCTTCACAGGCCTCGTGCTTATGACCCTTACTGGGGTATGTCCTTGAATTAGACTCAGGTACAGTAATGGATTGTTCCCATTCCCACCGATTAGAGTAGGGAAGTTCAATGGTTAGCCCCAAAGTCAACTGCTCTTTGACCCTTGTTTTATTCCTGTTGTGAAAACTGGACAGAGCCTGTGGGATGGCAGTGAGAACCGCAGGGCAGGTCTCTGATCTTGCCCGATACTTCCCTGCCTGTCACCCATGCGCCCTCCCCAGGGCAGCGGGGTTAGTTTATGATGGCCACTGGTGTGTTTAGATTTCTCAGATGTAGAAAGAACTTCAAAGCATGAACTCTTTTCTTGCGGACACGGGCTTAGAACTTTGTGTTTCATAACTGTGAGCAAAAGAAAGAAAAAAAAAAGAAGCCATCTAAGGATACACTTAACATTCTTGGGACTCTGGGCATACCATGATGCTCAAGTAATTCTGCTGCTGGAATGGCAGACTTTTTTTGCTCTAAGCAAGTAGTTCTCAACCTGTGGGTCACGACCCCTTTGCCAAACCTCTGTCTCCAAAAATATTTACATTATGATTCATAACCATAGCAAAATTATAGTTATGAAGTAGCAACAAAAATAATTTTATGGTCAGAGGGGTCACCACAGCATGAGGAACTGTATTAAAGGGTCACAACGTTACGAGGTTGAGAACCACTGCCATGCAGATTCTTTAAATAGGCATCTAATTGAAAATGCTGAAAAGAGAAATCCCTCTTGCTGCCCCTGGTTTTCTCAGCTGAGCTGATATATGCAAGACCTCTAGCACAGTTTCTGATTCTCACTACACTTCAGTCTTCCCCTTCCAGACGGGCTGCAGCCCCACGTAGGCCACAAGAGACCCCCAGCTGGCATCCTATGTGGTAAACGGCTCTTGGCCCATCCCTTGCCCAGAGTCCGCTTGCGTCAACCCACCCGTGGATTTTACAACCACCTCTGCAGCCACCTCCATCTCAAATATTGTTAGGATGATAACTAAATGCAGATTTCTAGGCCCCTTTTTAAGACCTACTGAATCCAGAGAAGCCTCGGGACCCACCTTTCTCGAGTATAGCCGAGGTGAAATCACCGGAGCCTGTGAACTGTGACACAGTTTCCCTGTTCGATCCCACCGTTGAGTTAAGCCCGTGGAAGGGAATTCTGCACGCTGTGAGCAGAGTCTGCTGCACATATAACTTCATTGTTTTACTTGTTACAATTGTTCCTTCTGCCTTGAAGGGTGACTGGTTCTAGAGCCATCTGAGGCCTCATTCCGGGGTCCTTCAAACCACAGATGTTTATGTCTTATGTAAGGACCCATGCCACTCGTTCCTGGTTTCATTTCCCCGCAGGGGGGAATCTCGCTGCTGCTGAGTTCATTTGCTTCCTGTCGTCAGAAAAAGCAATCCTGCCTCGCCATCTCTCATGCCTCCGCCAACTACAAATCAGAGAGACATTTTCTGGCCCGCATGTGGCAATCTGTGCAAGTCTGTGGTCTAAACATATTTACTCTTTCTCCTCTTTTTAGGCGAGCACAGCTTTGTTTTACATTTAAATGACATATTGTTACTGCTGTGGTCTGGTGACCCCTGAGCCACCTTAGATAGGCTATAATCAAGCTGTGTTTAATTCTTGGCATGAAGCAGTTCCGAAGTGGCCACTTGAATCAGGAGAAAAACATGCCCGCTTTCAGAGGCGGGGGCAACCAGTCCTGCGTTCTGCTCAGATGCGTCTCTTCGTTGATCTGGCTATTCAGATGCCATGGTATCTGTCTTGCACATCTTTACAAATGCGAGCCAGACGGGGAATTATGATGGGTTTCCAACGCTTTCGGCATCCAGTCTCCCCATGTAGGCTGTGATTTCAAGAGCAACACAGTGTCTCCATGGTTACCTGACAAAATTACTGTGGTTTCCAGAGCCTGCTTCTCTGCAACTGAGTGTGAACTCAACAGATTACTACAGGCAGCTTGGGGAGAGGCTTCGCATCTCCAAGCCCTGCAGGGGGAGATGTTGAGCACCCAACCAACCAACACCTAGCAACATTCCAGGACACCGTGACTCAACTAAAGTTTGCTAACAGAAGGCAAGCCTCGTGCACATGAAATAACACCACAGGTCCTTTTATTCCCCTAAATGCTTTGGGGGAGGATTCCTAAAGACATCACATTCAAGTGTGTCATGTGCTTTGACATGTTCACACGACAGCAGCCATATACTTCCGGCAAATTTTAGAATTGAGCTCTGTTTCCATCTCCGACACCTCTGCTTTCTTTTGCCTCCTCCAACAAACACAAAAGCACTAGTCACTTAGCAGGGCCTCTCAGCATCCCCAGAAGTTTCTTTGCACGTTCCTGCCATGAAACAGCCCGCATCTCAGTCCAATTCAATGTCCGCGATGAACCTGAAACAGAAGCCTTGTAGGAGAACAGTAGGGCAGCTGGCTTAGGGGCAGGACCTTTGTATGCTGTCAGGAAACCCAGGATTCACATCCTGTCTCTGCCTTTTAACATCTGTGTGTCATTGGGCAAGTTACAGAACCTCTCTAAGACTTGGTTTCCCCTGCTGCAAGGCATGGGTATCGATAATACTACCTCAAGTGTGGCTGTTAGCATGAAAGGGTTTAAGAATTTAGGACAAAGTGTGTGCCTAATGCCTCACCAGTGCTCGCAAACTAACCTGCGGTGAGATGAACAGCTCTACCGACAGCAAAGTCTTTCTGATGCTAAGCAGGCTGAAATTTGTCTCCAAATAACATCATCCAATGTCTCAGCTCTGCCTTGAAAGCGACCCAGAATAATTAGAAGCCTTCTTCCACACAGTGGCACTTAAGTGTTTAAAGAAGCAGTCACTTGCCCCCTTTTCAGTATATCTGGGGCTGGAGAGATGGCTCAGAGGTTAAGAGCACCGACTGTTCTTCCAGAGGTCCTGAGTTCAATTCCCAGCACCCACATGGTGGCTCACAACCATCTGTAATGAGATCTGGCGCCCTCTTCTGTGTACGTAATAATAAATAAGTCTTTGAATATAAAAAAAAAGTGTATCTGAAGTGAGCTATTACTTTTCCTGTTTGACTGTGTCTTGTTCCCCCGTTCCCCTTCTCAGGCATACGAGAATGCTGTAGACCGTAGGAGCTCTAGATCAGGGTCACGTGAGATCTTCTGGAGAGTAAAGGGAGGGTAAAAGGTATGTATGTACTGCTTCTGGGTGTCCTGCACTAGGTGTCCCATGAGGTCCTCTTGGCTCTCTTCCACAAGTCTCTGAACAGAGAAGATTCAGTGGATGGCTCCCAGGAGAGCCCAGTAGACAGAAACTAAAGAAGGGAAGAAGGTGGTCAAATCCGTGAAGGGCCACTTGAACTCCGCTTGTCACACTTACTGGCCTGTGACCTGAGTGAGAAGTCATCCTTAGTTACACTAAACAAGGAAGACTTGGGGCTTTTTGATGAGCTCACGCGTGTATCATGGTGGTCGCCTTGTCTGAGAATGTGCCACCTTGTCGGTGACCACTCTTACACCGTGATATCTAGAACTGAACAAAAATGTCCAGATGCGTCCTGACCCTGAGAGCACAAAACTAGTGTGGCTTGAATATGGTTTGGGGGTGTCTCCCGGAGGTCCGTGTGTTAGAAGCTTGTTTGAAGGAACCTTTAGGGTTCTGGCATGCAGACATACACGCAGGCAGAACACTATACACAACAAATAAATAAATCTTAAAAAGAAGAAGAAGGAGAAGAAAGAAGAAGAGCTTAGTTTGGCTGGCAGTTTGAGGGTACAGTTCATCTGTAGGGCTGAGGTCATTAGATCATTGAGGACATTGGCTTCAGAAGAGAACACAGAATTCTGGGAGGACTCAGGTAGTTCCTGGGCATGGAAATTGTTATGAAAGAGCAGCCTCGCCCCTCAGTCACACTCTGGCTACCTGTTAGGCTACAGGATCTCTGTTCCCCATGTGCTTCTGCCACGATGTGATGCAGCCCAGGGGTCTTCACCACAAGTCAAATAGATAGGGACACCCAATCTTGGTATTTTACCCTCAAAATCTGAGAGCATTTTTTTTTAAAGTATTCCGTTCAGATGTTTTGTTATTGCAGTGGAAACAGACTAATTCACTGCAAATGCTTTTCTCTTTTTCTTTCCTTCTCCTCGACTACCTCTTTTTTTAAGAAATGCTTTCCAAAGATGCCTTATGCTCGGCAGCCATGAGACACGGACTTCCCAACTTGTGTCTGTGCAGTTTACCCCTTCACACTCAGTTCAGAGCTTCACGTATGTTCTCATTGTCAACGTTTTCATTGGCGAATCACACACCTACAGAAGGCTGTAAAGGTCAATTCACAACTCAACCGATTTTCACACACATTTACAACCAAAAGAAGAGGATGGCTAGTGCCTCAGGTACCCCTTCATCCCCACCCTCCAATTAACCATAGTTTGCCCCCAAATAAACACTACTTTGGTGTTAGAGTCTTGATTATCAACTGGACAGGATTTAGACTCACTATGGAAATACACCTCTGGGTGTGTCTGTGAGGGTGTTTCTAGGAAGGTTTAACTGAGAGGGGGAAGATTCACCCTGAAACTGAGGGACACCCCATTTCCCCAGTCCTGGATAGAATGAAAAGGTGAAAGCATGCTGGGCACCAGAATTCATCTCTCCCTCCACCTCCTGAGCATCACCAGCTTCCTCTCAGGCCAACTGTCAAGCTTTCCCCACAAAGACGAACTGTACCCTCAAACTGCCAGGCAAACTAAGCCTTTCTTCTTCTTCTTCTTCTTCTTCTTCTTCTTCTTCTTCTTCTTCTTCTTCTTCTTCTTCTTCTTCTTTTAGATTTATTTATTATGTATAGTGTTCCGACTGCATGTATGCCTGTAGGCCAGAAGAAGGCAATAGATCTCATTATAGATGGTTGTGAGCCACATGTGGTTGCTGGGAATTGAACTCAGGACCTCTGGAAGAGCAGCCAGTGCTCTTAACCTCTGAGCCATCTCTCCAGCCCTAAGCCTTCCTTCTTTAAGCCACTTTAGTCACAGCAGAGAGAAAAGCAACCATGACATCTGGCTTCTAGCAGCACAAACTCATTTCTAAGGTTCTGGGTTTTATATAAATGGAATCATAGTATGTGCTCCTTTTGCCTAATTATAGCTCTGGGATTCAAGCACATTTCTGTAATAGCTACTGTGAGGTCATTCTCATTGATGATACTTCATTATGGAATCAGACTTGAATGCTTCATTCTCTTAAAGTTATAAAGGAATTTATTAATTTTAACATAGTACATCTACCTAACTCTTTTTTCTTCATAACAGCACATGTTAAGACTTTTCAGCAAATCTTTGTCTACTCCAAATTATGACATTATCCTACTGTGGTAGTTTGAATGTAATTGGCCCTATAAGCTCACAGGGAGTGGCACTCTTAGGAGGTGTGGCTTTGCTGGAGTGGGTGTGGCCTTGTGGGAGGAAGTGTGTCGCCATGCAGGCAGGCTTTGAGGTCTCCTTTGCTCAAGTTATACTACTCAGTGTGACATTCTGGTCACTTCCTGTTGTCTGCAGATCAAGATATAGGATTCTCAGATACCTCCCCAGCACCATGTCTGCCTGCATGCCGCCATGTCCTGCCATGATGACAGTGGACTAAGCCTCTGAAGTGTAAGCCACCCCCAATTAAATGCTTTCCTTTATAAGAGTTGCCTTGATCACAGTGGCTCTTCACAGCAATAGAAATCCTAACTAAGACACCTACTATGTTTTCTCTTAAAGACTGCATTTTACTTTTCTATCTTTTACTTCACCTTTGACGGTTTCCTATGTGTGTACGTTGATCATAAGCAGCCCCAGAATTCTCTCCCATTCTCCCCACACACTTGGAAACACATCGCACTCCTAATTCCATGTCTGCTCTGCTTTCTTACTAACCCACTGAGTCTACTTAGTGCTGCCTGCTGGAATGTTGGCTTATTGGGGTGATCTTCCCCATTGACTTTGTGAGTGCAACAGCTGTGTCCTGTCCAGGAGACAGCGTGTCCCAGCATCTCTCCCATCCTCTGGGCCTTCCACTCCTTCCGCCCCCTCTTCCGTGATAGCTCCTGAGCCTGGGAGTGTGGAACGTGATAGAGATGTCCCACTGAGGACGAAGCACTCAGCAGGCCCTTATTCCCAGCACTTGGACCAGTTACATGTCTCTGCATTAGCTTCTACAGTGGGAAGCTTCTCTGGCAAAGGCTGAGAGCAACACTAACACATGAGCAGACACACAAATATTTAAAGGCAGTTTGATAACATGACCACTTAGCGAAACAACAGTAGTATGCTCCCCATTAGGGCCTATCATCTCCCAAGCCATGAGCTTTTTTATCTTTTTTGTTTTTATCTTTTAAATTTTTGTTTTAAGATAGGGTCTCTTTACTACAGCCCTGGCTGTCCTAGAACTCACTATGTAGACCAGGCTGGCCGTTGATTCACAGAGATCCTCCTGCCTTTGCCTCCCAAGTTCTAGGGTTAAAGGCATGTACCACTACACTCAGCCTGCCATGAGCTTTTGACCAACTTACTGTACTGGGTATTAATTCTCTCTGGCGGAACAGCCCTTAGAGTCAACCAGAAAGTGGTTTGTTATTACCATAATCTTCATGTTTTATTTTTCAAATTGAGATTGGTGACTCATCTAAGGTTATAGTTGGGAGCATGAGACAAGGACCAAGACACATTTTTGTTTGGTTGTTCTTTGTTTTTCTGTTTGGATATACAGTAAACTCCGCACCTTTTATTGAGAAGTCTTTCCTTCCTGTATTGGATTGCGTGGTTTCTTTATCATTAATCAGGTAAAATGCACCTGTGGGTTTTGCTTCTATATTACATGCTGATCCTTTGGTCAGCTTGCTTATCCTTTATAACCCTTGGTTATTTTTATTTTTTGTAAATATTGTACTTACAGAATCATCCCAGGTGTCTTGACGAGAATTTTGTTGAATCCATACACCTGGCCCCTTCTTACACTTGTTTAGGTGTTGTTTAATTCTCCCAATAATGCTTTATACTGTTTAGGACAAAAGCCATACAAGCATTTCATCACAGTTATTCCTAGATATGTAATGGTTTTTATGCTATTACAAATGACATCTCTTATTTTATCCTCTATTTATTGCTAGTATGTAAATATGACTAGTTTCGTACATAGGCCAATTATCTAAAGAGCCTGTCAACTTCACATACCAATACACTTTGTAGATTCTTCTGGACTTTCTACACATGCAATCATCTTATCTACGAATAATGTCACTCGGCTTCTTCCCTTCCAACCATTATGCCTTTCTCTACTGCATTTTATCTTTCCTTTTTAAGTCAAAAATTCCAACTGGCTGAGGTAATTTGAAATCATGACTTTGTAACTCAGAATATTATCTTTTCTTCAACAATTTATCAAATTTGTAGATGTTAAATATTCATCCCCTGTACTTCGAATCAGTGTCCAGGAGACGTTTTTAAACAAAACTAAAAACAAAGCTGTGGAGAATGCCCAGGAGACTGACGTCCAAGCTGACACTCCCCCACCCCATGCGAGAATGCAAATCTTCACTTAAACAACCTAAGTAAATTTCAGCCAGCATTCATTTCTCTACTAGAATATGCCAATATTTTTGTCAGAGTGTTCTAGTACTCCATAGAGGTCAAGGTCCAACAAGTACCTATCTCTTTTTAAAATGTGAAAAAATATACTGCTTTCTCTAAATTAAATCTATGCTGGAGTCTTCATGGGGATCACTTCTCCTAAGTTATCATAATACATCATTTAAAAGTCCTTTCTGGAATTAATCTAGGAGCCTATTTTTTATGAATATGAGGTTTTTATAGAAACTGTTTCTGGAATGTCTATGCCAACCACGTATTCATTTTCTTTTGTGTCTTTTTCATATAACAAAGTTGTAGACCGTGTTTACAGTAAATAAGAGCACTGAGTATGGTACCTCAGTGTGAATGAGAGTCAAGGAAGGGACTATCCCCTGAGCCTGAATGAAGCAGAAGTTATTACTAGAATCCAGAGACTGTCACGTGGGATGGCCCACCCAACATAGTAAGGGGGTCAGGTATTAGAAAGATGGGAAGACAGAGGAATAAGTACCCTACCCTCACTCTCTATTATTCTAAAATCCTGCTGATGCCTCTCATCAGCTGAACCCACTTGAAAAAGGAAGATGGGGGCATGGGAAGGTGTAAGAATTGATATTTTAAAATATGATCCAGTAATATTAGAGCAGATTTTTATCTTCCATCATTGGATGTGGCTTTTTAAACTCTCAGCTCATCAGCAATCCCTTCCCCTCTGGCTCTGCTGTTTCCATTTCTTCCTTACTGCAATCATTTATACGAATCTCTATTTCATTTTAAGAAAAGCCCAGCTGATGACATGGCTCAGTGGGTTAAGGTACTCACTGCCAAAGCCTGACGACCTGAGTTCAACCCCCAGAGAGAACCCACTTATCCTCTGACCTCCAGACAAGCACTAGGGCACACGTTCCTATACATATACACTTACACAGACACACATTAGATAGATAGATAGATAGATAGATAGATAGATAGATAGATAGATAGATAGATGATAGATGGATGATGGATGGATGGATGGATGGATGGATGGATGGATGGATGGATGGATGGATGGGTGGGTGGAGGAATGGATGGATGGATGGATGGATGGATGGATGGACGGCTAGATAGATAGATGGATGGATAGATAGATAGATAGATGACAGATTGACAGACAGACAGACAGACAGACAGATGTTTAAAAAGCCCTCTCACTTTGCATCATCTCCCTTTTGGAGACTTTGAAAATCCACCAAATCATTTTGAAATAAGTCCAATAGTGTACTCATTAATTCATTCATTTAAAGCTTCCTCCCCATATTAGCTTTACTTTCAATGAGATTATTTCTTCATTGATGATCAACTATTCTCTTGCTAGGGCCCTTCTCTTTTATTCTTCCACATTTGAAAGGCTTATGAATCAGTAAATCATGTGTGAAAAGGGAAACGTCACATTTTTAGGAGACCGAAATTTCCAATGGACATCCAGAGGTGCCACTTAGAAGCATTCTTCCAACCATACTTGACAGCAAACAATGGCATACTAAACATGGCCACACTGAGTTCCTGGCTTGTTCATCACTTGTGGAGACAGCCCCACGACTGTCATCTCACCCTGTTTAGTCATTGCCTAGGAAGAGCCCCGGAAAAGGTTGACTTCAGTGTGAACCTAGCCCTTGGATCCAGCAAAGTAGCAGTTGGGGCCATCAGTCAATGATGCTCCCTACAGAGAACCGAGTGACATGTTGTCACGCCTATCAAAGCAGCATTCAGAGTTTTAAATCAGAAAAGCCTTGAGATGCGCTCTAAAAGATGAAGGGAAAATATCTGCTTTAGTTCAATGTTTGCTTGCAATTTTTTAAAGGAATCTTCAGCAAACGGGACTACAAGTGAACACCCTTGACTGGCACATGCATGCTGCCCACCAAGCCTGGGGTAAAGCTAGAGAAAAATCTCCCACTTAAAGCTAAACACTGAATCATTCACTTCTGTACCAAGACCAAGATGGGAAGACCTATTCTTGCCACTTCTAATGAATGAGAAATCAAGTTGTCAAAGAAAGTGCATGGTGACTCTTTAAGTCAAAGTTAAAATATGTAAAGCTAAAATATCGCCTGAAGACACACACACACACACACACACACACACACACACACACACACACACACACACATACACACACAAATAACACCCAGGAAAACACAAACCAGTATTTTTCTCTGGTAAGGAGGAAGACAAATGGAATCGATGAAGGATCAAGACGACTAGTTAAATTCTATTTCTTATATTAGGGCAGGTGTACATTGGCGTGCATGGCATTATCTTACTTTGAACTACGTGTACATATACAAACTATACATATATTATTTGTGCTACTTCATTGCATATGACACATTTATAAGGAAAAACTTTGAGAGAAAAAGAATAAAGCCTTAACCCTTCAGCTTCCTTCTGGAATATTTCCTATGTAGATACTATTCCTAGAAATGAAACACTGCTTAGAATTTTGAGGATGATTGCTTAAAGATGGTGGCATGGGAAGACAGAAGAAGCCTGAAGCCAGCCCTAGGTTTCTGTTGTAATTTCTTACTAAAATAGAATTATTTTACTCTCAGCTAAATAAGAATTGTAAGGGAATGGAATATAAGTGAAGCTCTGAAGAGTCCATTCCCTTGTAGTCTCCTGTTCAGAACAGCTGACCACAGTCATGTCAACATCCTCAACCTGTCCATATCCCCTTCTTGTACTGGACCTGATATAATAAGAGACCAGCCCAAAGCACACTAGAGTGTCTCTAACGCCATTGGAGCTCCGGTTTAAACAATACTTTCAATGTAATGCTTTCGACGCTTTGTGGACCTGTCATCTATTGCTCTTACACCTTACCACCCAGATCTGTGCATGCCCCCTAGATCTGGGCTTCCTGTACTTTCGGTACTTTTTTTTCTAGATTTATTTATTATGTATACAGAAGAGGGCGCCAGATCTCATTACAGATGGTTGTGAGCCACCATGTGGTTGCTGGGAATTGAACTCAGGACCTCTGGAAGAGCAGTCGGTGCTCTTAACCTCTGAGCCATCTCTCCAGCCCCACTTTCAGTACTTTTGAAAACGCAGGAAGCACAAAGTTCCTATGAAGAAATATGGGATAGGATGGTGCCTGAAAATGTCTCCTAAAATACTGCTATAAAAAAAATATTGTGTGTCTATGGAAAAAAAAAAATCTAAGACTTTACTTGAGGCAGGAGAAGTATCATTTCTGGGTGTAATATGACCTGAGTCTTTCCTCTATATTATTCATAAGTTTCTCTTTTTATGGTTGTTTCTTTATTCACAATATGAAAATCTCTACTTGGGCTAAAATTATTTTTCTTGAGTTATCAAGTTCTTATGGTTTCTTTCAATCATGCTTCCTCTCTTTCTCTCTCTCTCTCTCTCTCTCTCTCTCTCTCTCTCTCTCTCTCTCTCTCGCATACACACACACATACATACACCTATGTTTAAAAAATATCAAGCCTTTTATTCTGGTGAAATTTTATTTCCTATGTAAGACCGCTTCTGTTTAGAACTTTTGGTCTTGGATGTCTGGAAATCCTTGCCCCTTTCTGCCCATGGTCTAATGAGCAGCCACAGGCCTGAAGCATCCCTCCTCTCAGAGGCGCGTCTTAGGATGCCTTTCATCCCAATGACAAAATATGGTTTTGGGATTTTTTTTCCTAAATAATTTATGTAAAGATAAAGGTGGAACCATTATGGAATCCAAGTGAATAAGCAAAATAAGCTGTTTTGTTGTTATTTCTGCTCTTTTAGGGGCCTGCCACCCAGCTCCTAAATAAATCATACATGGAGGCTTATTATTAATTATGAATGCCCAGCCTCAGCTCAGCTTCTTTCTTGCCAGTTTTCCTTAACTTATCCCGTCTACCTTTTGCCTCTGGGCTTTTTCTGTTCTCTTACTTCTGTAAATAGTACTCTTACTCTGTGGCTTGCTGTATAGCTGGGTAGCTGGCCCCTGGAGTCCACCTCTTTCTCTGGCTGCTAGATCTTCCCTCCCAGATTTCTCCCTCTATATATTCTCTCTGCCTACCAGCCCCGCCTATCCTTTCTCCTGCCTTGCTATTGGCCATTCAGTTCTTTATTAGACCAGTCAGGTGTTTTAGACAGGCTCAGTAACACAGCTTCACAGAGTTAAACAAATGCAACATAAACAAAAGTAACACACCTTAAAACAATATTCTACTACACTGTTTTCCCAGCATCAAACAGATACTGAAATATGTTCTGTTTCCCAAAGTCTAATCTTCCACAGTGTCTAGCCTTCCCCCTTTAGTCTAAAGGGGGGCAGTTCTCTGGACTTAGATCCTGGCCTGAAAAGAATAGGCAGATCACAACCCAAGTCCTTCCTCCTCTGTCCCCCTCCAAGCAAGGGGCACACATCCACTCAAGTATATAGCGCCACACAAAACCATTTCAAAAGCATGCTCAGTACAGGCTTGCCATTTAGAAACAGATGGGGAGGAGTCAAATCTTTTCTCTGTGTTGTCATAACAACAAGTTAAACTCTCCATGCCTCGGTAACCACATCTATGAATGGGAACAAACAGTATCTACCTCCGAGTTCCGCCGTGGAGATGGACAGAGAAAGCCATTTCCTAAACTAAAAAGCTCCACACAATTTAAGGTTACTCTTATTTGATTTGCAGCTTCAGGTGGACACCAGCGTTAGTAACCTTGAGTAAGAGGCCAACGTTGGAGCCCAGAGAGTTAGGACCAACGTTCCAAAATGGGTCATAAAACATCAGTTCCATGAGTCTTTGGGGGGAAGGGTATTTTAGTTACTCTTCTGTTGCCGTGGTAGAACACGCTAACCAAAAGCTATTTGGCGGGTTATTTGGCTTACACTTCCAGCTCTCAATCCATCATAGGGGAAAGTGGGGGAAGGAATTTAAGAAGGAATGCCAGGCAAACCTATGGAAGCTGCCTGCTGGCTCCTCTCTGGCTCCCCATCCACAGGTTTACATGTAGCTAGTGTTCTTAGACAACCCCAGACAACACCTAGGGATAGTACCACCCACCGTGGGCGGGGCCTTCCTGCACCAGTTACTAATCAAGACAACTCCCCCCAGAGACACCCCACAGGCCAGTCTGAGCTAGGCAGTTCCTCAGCTGAGGCCTCTGCTCTGTGATGACTCTAGGCTACTTCAAGTTGGCACTTACGCTAAAAATAGCAAGTATCAGTAAACTGGAAAACAGTGGTCTCGTGGAGTTAATTCAGCTTCTTATCACCACACTTCTCAGAAATTTCAGTGTGTTAGAATGTGACAATCTGACAGGAATATCGTCAATTTTTTTCACCCCATCTTTTCCCCCCCAATACTGTCTTAACCAGTACACCCTATCTCTTGATCCTTCCTTTTTGGTTTCTCTCTTCCTAATTCATGATACTTAATTGTTAAAACATACTCTATAATTTTGGTTACATTGGATTTCTGTTAACAAACAAAAATAACAAATGTTTCAAAAATGTTTTATTGAAGCAAAGGTACACAGCTGGCCCTGCTATATATAATATAGTGTGTGGAAATGGGAAAAGAAACTATAAGAATCCAAGGCAATAGAACTATGAACTATACTGCATCAGCCTGGCCCTTCTCAAACTAGAGGTTCGATTTGCATAAAATAATTCAACAGTCAACTCCATTTGTGTCTGAAGTATCTTTTTTTTTTTTTTTTTGGTTTTTCGAGACAGGGTTTCTCTGTGTAGCTTTGCGCCTTTCCTGGAACTCGCTTTGGAGACCAGGCTGGCCTTGAACTCACAGAGATCCACCTGCCTCTGCCTCCCAAGTGTGCCACCACCACCCGGCGTATGAAATTTCTTAATCACAATTCTCTTTACTATAGATTATTTTCTCCTTTTGTCTGTTTTTGTTTTTGTTTGTTTGTTGGTGAGGAGGCTTGAACTCATAATATCCTTGCCTCAACTTCCCGATGACTAAGATAATTCTTACAGGCACATGTCACCCACCCTGCTACTACAGACTCTTCAGAAACATAGTTTGTCCATAACATATTTTCAAGTTATACAGTAGTTTTAAATGTAGGCTGTCTGTGTATCATAGGACTCAGCAATCACTGGTGTGGCATGGCAAGGTAAACGCAGCTTCTTTTCAGCGGGCACATTTCAGGCCTCAGCGCAGCCCACCTGTCACTCATTTCCTTACTCCGGGTAGGAAAAGTTCCCAGCAGTCTCTCAATGTCACAGACTTGCTGCCTTCTGTTTGTGCACTCATATCTTCCCAAAACACACACCCTCTTCCCTCCTGTCGTGTGTTTTCTCGTCTCTGTGACTCAGACCGCGAGTTCCTGGGCCAAACCCCACACCCCTGCCCTGCTTTTTCCTCCTTGTATCATATTTAGCACTTAGACTCTTTCTCAAACACCCGGAGGCTACCCAGGTACGGGACACCTCTGACTTACAATGGTTGTCTCTCTAAATATCACCTACACTTCCCCCGGTGTGGCCCCCCATACTCCCACAAACCTTCATGGCTCATTTTCTCCGCTCCGGCCACAGCTGCCAAGCACAGGCTTCACCCCGTTTGTCAATGACTACAGAGGCCTAGCTGGAGTCAGAAAAACAACCTCGGGCTTGATTTGAATGTGCAAACCACTGCGCTCCTCTGTTTGCTGAAACAGTTACCCGGTTTTACTCTTCTCAGTTTCTAGACCCTGTTGCCTTGAAAACATGAAAAAAAGAAGAGCAGGCAGGAAGGAAATCTCCTACAGTATTAGTTCGTTCCCTTTGCTGCCATGCCTTGTTAAAAAGTGCAAAGACTTGAATGCCTGAGATCTGAGGTCTCGCCGTCAGGTTGGCTTAGCACCTGTCCTGGCTGGTTTAGTGTCAACTTGACTCAAGCTAGAGTCGTCAGAGAGAAAGGAGCCTCATTTGAGGAGAAAATGCCCCCATAAGATTAGACTGTAAGGCATTTTCTTAATTGGTAATTGATGGGGAAAGGTCCAGCCCATGGTAGGTGGCACCATCCCTAGGCTAGTGGTCCTGGGTTCTATTAAAAAAAAAAAAAAGTATACTGAGCAGGCTACGTGAAGCAAGCCAGTATGCAGCACCCCTCCATGGCCTCTGTATCAGCTCCTACCTCCAGGTTCCTGCCCTGCTTGAGTTCCTGTCCTGATTGGCTTTGGTGATGAACAGTGATGCGGAAGTGTAAGCTGAATAAATCCTTTCCTCTCTGTGGTTGTTTGAGTGTAATGGGTGTAAGGATTTGGTCCTTAATTACGTCATCAGCCTTCGACGGCATCCCAGCCTAAAAAGCGGGTGGGCCCTCTGTGTGCCCCTCATTCCCTTCTGCTCCTTCCTTCTGTCTGGACCTCCTTCTTCTCTTCTCTCTCTCTCTCTCTCTCTCTCTCTCTCTCTCTCTCTCTCTCTCTCTCTCCCTCTCTCCCCCCTCCCAATAAAGCTCTAAAAAGGTAACCATGGCTGTGATTCTTCCAATCAGCACTCTCTCCGTCGGCATGGCCGCCGTGGGTAGCAGCCAGCCATGAGAGCAGTGCCATGGCATAACCAACAATGGGCCCCCATGATCTCATAGGAAGTGGATCTATTTGGAGGTGTGCTATGGGATAATGCTCTTGTGCACTGTAAAGATTTCTCACTCCTATTGGTTTAATAAAATGCCAATTGGCCAGTAGCCAGGCAGGAAGTGTAGGTAGGGTGATGACTAGACAAGGAGAATGCTGGGAAGAGGAAAGGCAGAGATGGAGTCATCGGCCAGACACAGAGGAAGTAAGATGAGAATGTTGGACTGAGAAAAGCTACCAAGCCATGTGGCTAAACATAGACAAGAATTATGGGTTAATTTAAGCATAAAAGTTAGTTAGTTATAAGCCTCAGCAATGGGCCAAACCGTTTATAATTAATATAAGCCTCTGTGTGTTTATTTGGGCCTGAATGGCTGCGGGACCAGGGAGGACAGAAACTTGCATCTACAGAGGTGTGGCTTTAATGGAGTGATCTGGCCTTGGAGGAAGTGTGTCACTGTGGGGGCAGACTTTGAGGTTTCCTATGCTCAGGATACCTCCCAGTGTCTCAGTTGATTTCCTGTTGCCTGCAAGATGTAGGACTATCAGTTACTACTCCAGTACCATGTCTGCCTTCATGCCGCCATGCTCCCCATCATGATAATAATGGAATGACCCTCTGAAACTGTAAGCAAGCCCCCTCAAGTAAATATTTTCCTTATAAGAGTTACTGTGGTCAGTGGCTCTTCACATCAATAGAAACCCTAAATAAGACACTCTCCAACTTGCTTTTTGGTCATGGTGTTTCACTGCAGCACTAGAAACCCTAACTAAGTCAAGTTGGTACCAGGATTATGGGGTATTGCTATGACAGACCTGACTGTGTTTTGGGAGAGGACTGGGGAAATACTTTGGAACTTAGGTCTAGAAAAGTCATTCAGTATTGAGAACTCAGTGGGATGTTCTTGAGGAGCTCAGAAGATAAGAATGTTGAGAGCCATGCAGAAGATGGAGACCTGGCTCGTGAAGTTTCAGAGGGAAATTTAAAGACTATAAATTTGATACTTTGAATTAAGATTCTGTCCTTCTGGTCAGCTGGGGCTGAAGGGTCAGCCACAACTAACAAGAAATCATCCAGTTGGAACCTTTGTGTTACTGGGACAATTAAAGCTGGTTAGCTAAGAAATTAGAGTAATTAAGAAGAGACCAGCATCACTGAGATGAAATCTTCAGAGGAGTGTTTCCTGAGGGCACAGAGATGCTATATTCCAGAGGTAGCCAAGGCTGTACCTCATGTTGGCAGCTGGATTTGGTCCAGCATAAGAGTCACCTAGGTGATACTGGTTTTGAAGGCATGAAAGGGTCATGGAGAGTAGCTGAGACTTGGCACTCGTGGTGAGAGGCCAGAAGAAACCATTGGTGAAGGTGCAGCCTCAGTGGCAGTTGAAGACCTAGGACTGAATGGGTCATGCAGAGAAGTTGAGGCTTGGCTCCATGAAGAGAGGCTAAAAGAGGTTATTGGTGAAAGTGCAGGTCAGTTGCAGAGGAAGACCCCAGTGTTTTGGAGATACCAGTAGCATGCGATGACCATCAAGAATGACATGGCAGTGGAGCAGAGCCAGCCAGAGCCCAGAAGACAAGCTGGGCTGGAAGTGACCCCAGCCCAAGAGATCGTGAATGGATCCCCAGACATTGGACAGTTGGAGTTTGCTTTTGCTTTGATTTGATTGTGACTGTACCCTGATTTTTCCCTCTTGAAGTAAGAAAGTATTTGATCAATTTTTATTTTACTGGAGCCCACAGTTGAAAGACTTTGAATTTTAAATGAGATTGACTACTTTAAAGGGGCTGAAAATGTAATGTGCTTGAATTTGTAAAGACAGTGGGACTTCAAAAGTTGTTTATGCTTTAGTATGGAGATTGGGAATGCATAAGAAAGAAAGGGTTGTGTCTTAACAGTGATGTGTTTGTGTGTCAGGTGATAACATCGGTTGTACTTGCTGATTTTATGTCAACTTGACACAATCTAGGGTCGTCAGAGAGGTAGGGGCCTCAGTTGAGAAAAGGCCTCCATAAGAACAGGCTGCAGGTAAGCCTGTCGGGTATTTTCTTAGTGATCAGTGGAGCCCAGCTCATGGTGGGTGGTATTATGCCTGGAATGGTGGTCCTGGGTTCTATAAGATGGAGAGCAAGCCAGACAGCACTCCTCTATGGCCTCTGCCTCAGTTCCTGCCTTCG